ATTGGCAATTGATGTGAGTTAAGAAAGGATTCTATTAGGGCCGATCTGAGCTCAGCCCCAAACATCACAAAAATAAATAGAACTTAAGTCTCTAGGGATAGAGGGAGGGCAAAATGTTGGGCCTTAACTTGATGACCTAACAATCAAATTTTATATCTCTAATTTATTGTATAGAGTTAATAGGATTTCCAAGAGATTTAAGAGAGAAAGAGCTATTTAAAAAGGGAATGGAGAAGTTAAAAATATTGGCAATTGATGTGAGTTAAGAAAGGATTCTATTAGGGGTGTAATCGGGCCGATCTGAGCTGGACTGAACTTTGGCATATCTAGAGGTGTAAAACGGGCGGTGCTGCCCTCCTCGGGGATAAATTGGGAGTGGCCCGACATGGCCCATGGCTTAAGCCCATGTGGGCCCGTGCCATGCCATGGGCCTGGGTTGGGCGAGCTGTAGGCCATGCCATGGGTTTGGGCCGCATCGGGCTAGGCAACAGGCTAGGCCTTGGGCATGGGCCGAACCAGGCCAAGCTGTTTTTTTTTTGACATTTTTGATTTTTTTTATTTCTTTGCTAAGTAAAACTAAAATATTTAACTTTCCTTTGTGAACTATTTGAAAAATAAGAAATCTAATAAAGAAATGAAAAATATACTTAACCAAATAAGATTTGATAACATATAAATTAAAATTTGTTTATATGAGTAAAAAATTTTTAAAGCATATGATCTAATAGTATTCCTAGGAACTTTTTTAAATTGTTGATTTACAGAATTACGTAACCATTTTACAAGCTTAGTATCTTCAGCTAACAAAAATGGCTGTTCAGCATGTATAATGTATTTTGCCAATTCTTGCATCATTTTTTCTCGAGAATATTTAAAATTTCCAAACTCCCCCCCGCCCAATTTGTGTTTGTGTTGTTTCTCTCCCTTCTTCTTCTTCTTCTTCTTCTTCTTCTTCTTCTTCTTCGTTCTCATGGATGGGCAAATGTCTGCCCAAATGGCAAGTACCACCCTTGCTACAATAGTTATTCCTACATTTTTGGCAAATAGCTCTTTTTCCCTTCCCCTAAACCTCCTCTATTTTAAATATTTTCCAAACGAGGCTAATCAACTTAATGGCCTTCTTTTCTTTCCCCTAGTATTAGTACTAGGGGTGGAAGTTCCATCAATATCAATAGCATCCATATCGGTGCTAATACTACCATGTTGCGATTGAATATTGTTGACATTGAACATGTTAGGAATTGGTTTTGGGAGGAGCCGACCATTTTTTTTTAATTCTAAAAAAATAAAAATTAATTTAATTGCACTTACCCGGATTGATGATTCGGAATCCCAACTTGATTTTAATGGTTGAAGCCTTTCAACTCCAAGAGTCTAAGCCTCCCAAATTGCTAACTTGAGAGTTGAGATACTTGAGTTGTTGTGCAAGCCTTCTTGTTGAAACTTCAATAAAGTTGAGAATTGGAGAATCAAAGAATGTATTAGAGATTGAAAAGTTGAGAGAGTATGAGAACTAGAGAAAAGATTAAGATAATTGTTGAATTGGTGTGATGAGAATGGTGGAGGATAAGGCTATATAGGAATTGAAAATAATTTAATTGCCCAAAATACCCTAAAAACTAGCCATTTTTTAGTTGTTGGGAGAGGTACTTTGGCCATTGTAAACTAATTTCACTTTACCCAAAATGCCCCCCAAAGTAGCTGTTATATAACTGTTGGGGAGTATTTGTGTCATTCTTTCTTCCTCAAAACCAAAATACATAAATACCCCCTATATAGCTGCTTATAGATGTTGGGGGGGGGGTAATTTTGTAAAAAAATCCCCAAAAAGCTGAAACTAGCCGTTGGAAACCCCCCCAATGGCTAATTCATTGGATGGGCCGAGCACAACCCGCTATAGGCCCGCAGGCCATGCCATGCCGACCCTTGGACCTAGAACCCCAGGCCTAACACTACTTAGACCAACATATCGGGCCTAGAACGGCCCGTATGCCGTTGTGCCATGCCATTCCAGGCCACGGGCGGCATGGCTTGATTTACAGCTCTAGACATGTCTTTACTCAGCTCGACTAAAATACTAATAGGTTTGAGTTTGATTTAAATTTAAATTTTCAGTTCATGGTTAAATATTTGATGAGCTCAGATTTGATTTGAAATGCTAAAAAACGAAT